GGACTGCACTTTTCGCACACCGCGCCCCGCCGCCTTGCGGGTGAGGCATTGGCTAGCCAAGGGCTCCGGTTGTGAATCCCCGAAGAAAATTCACCATCTACATGCAACCGCAATATTACGTTTATCGTAATCCCTTGAAATCCACCTCAGATCTCAGAGAAGCACGTATCGATTGCATCTTAAAATATTTGCTCCCTTACTAATGATCGTATACGATCTATTCCAAAACATTTGTATTTTCATTCGTATCATCATTCTCCTTATAATTTTGTTTATTTTATTATCATGGTCTAAACATACGTGAAACTTTTACTAGATTCTGCAACATTCGGGTCTCTGTGAAGAGTTAGGTGTAGACTGCAGCTGTCTGGTTGGTGCCGCCGTATGATCCAAAACCCGGAATAGGGACAGCGCAAAAGCCTGGCATTGGAGCACAGTAGTCTATGCTACAGCGTATCAATATGGCGGAGTAAGCATTATCGAGGTTGAGATCAGGGTTTTGAATAATGGCGGTCACGTAACAGTGAAAGTCCTTAACGTTCACAAATAGTGATGATTGTGATATGCATCAGGTATGGGATTGAGTAGGCCTTCTCGTTGCACAACTTTTGCCGAGGCAGACTATCCACTTTTTTCTTTTTTTATTGACTTATTTCTCAATGTTCGATCAAATGAGCAGTCGAAAGATAGAAAGATAGAAGCCAAAATCTTCGCACAAAAGCGACGAGATGCGATTCATAGGCTCACCAATCCATCCAACCACGTAAGAAACACTATCAAACTCTGAATGAGCCTTGTCTTGGGGTTGGGAATTCCACACACTCATCAAGTTGCAGAACTTACCGGAGTTCTTTTAGCTTTCGGCTTTTCGCATCTGCCAACCGAATCTGTCGAAGTCTAGCTTCTTCTTCCAGTTTGACACCCTCCTCAAAAAATGCATTCCGTTCTGCGATTCGTTCTTGTTCACGTTCACAAATCTGCCGACGAATTTCCTGTGCGTGTTTTTCGTTCCTCAATTTCATCTCGTTTGCCTCACGATGATCATTGTCCATCATTTCCTGCTGGCGTCTGGAAATATTAGTCGAAAACTGTAGAGATAAGGTTTGTCGACGCACTCTGAGATGATTTCGGTGTTAGAAATTTCTGTTCACATAAGAGTTCAGTCATCGTAGTCGTTATGGGGTTGATATGGAATTTGAAAAGGATAATATCATTATTGGTCTAAATCAGTGTCAAATTTAGTTCACTCATTTGACTGCCTGTCGTCCCTTACTTTAAAATTCTTTCGAATTCCATCCGTTCACGACCAGCCTCAATGGCTAACAAACGTCGACGTTCTTCCGCCTGAGCAACGCGAGCCAAACGCAATTCATTCTCTGTCTCGGCTTTCTTTTGAGCCTCTGCTTGTTCTTTCCTTCTCCATTCTCGTTCGCGTGCTTCGGCCGCTCTTTTGGCTCGTAAAGCATCTCGTTCTGCTGCTTCGTCAGAGGCTCGTTCTTGTTGAGCACGTAGACGAGCTACTTCCAACTCTTTCTCCAAACGAATACGAGCTTGCTCGGCCTCGTAGGCAGCTTCACGTTCCTGCATGCATAAGTGTACAAAAGTAAGCAATACTTCATTGTGGGGAACGTACACTGTTTCACAACTTATAAAGTCAACCTGACTTCATATATTTCCACAATTTGATTTCAAAGAATAAAATCAATAATAAAACCAAAACAGTTTGAATGCACGTGATGTTTAAAACTCGTGAAAGTACGTCGTAAATTAGTCCACTTTGCAATGCACCTATGAGGGCAAGGAAAACCGGAACTGTCTTCAATTATGAGAACCAAATAACAACAACCGAACAGCTAACAAGTCATAAGGGTCGCCATACTCGAACTGTAAGGATGGAACTCATTCGATGTCAATGGAAGGCGATGGATTTGTTCGACCACAAGTGTGGTTTAAAGCAGCAGAGAGTGTTGATCGTTTGCAAGCTGCCTTTGGTGATGACGAGGCTTCCACAAGCACAGTGTTTAAGAGGTTTACAGAATCGAAGCTTGGCAGGTCGTCCGTGAATGATGAGACACGAGTTGGTCTACCTGTGGAGGCCACCAAAACGGACAACATTGCTACTGTGCAGCGACGGTTGAAGAGAATGCGCGGGTGAAAGCAATCGGACACGCATCGGGA